GGCAAAAATATAAACATAACATGACTCAGCATGTAAGGTCTCCACATGGCACAAAATATACCATCCAAGCCTTCTCTTTCATTTACAAGAATATAGTCGTTTCCACAATTCTTATAACGAATGTACATTCGTTATATATTATATTACAAACATAGAAGTCTCGTTATTTTCAGTTGATCAACTCAATCCTACAATCGTTTCATCAAACACATAAAGTTCACCTTACAAGCATTTCATCAAACACATAAAGTGCATCAATTCACCAACTCAATCCTACAACCATTTCAACAATTAACCTCACTTTCATGCATAACACATTTTAAACAATTAATCCAACTTTCATCTCTTTAAACACAATACAGTACAAAACAACCACAATACCAAAAAATTCTTCTTCAACATCATTCTTCTTCTTCTTCAATTAAAAAATAACACATAAACTGAAAAAAAATAAAAAATGAATCCTAAAATAATTTCTTACCAACATTGACAATAGAGAGTTCCATGAGACAGAGTTGAGAGAGAGAGAGAGCCGAAAGAGCGTGAGCGAGAGAGCCGAGAGAGAGTCGAGAGAGCGGAGTCGAGAGAGCGTGAGAGAGAGAGCCGATTTTTTTTTTTCACGTTGCCGTTGTTGCGTCTGTTTTTGTGGGAAAATGAAGAGTATGTTGTGAGGGTATATAAGTAACTTCCTCTTTCTTGTTAATTTTTCATTATTGCTTAATTTTTTTTAGTCAAAAGGTTAGTTAGACAATAGTAGTATATTGTTTGGAGAGGGTCATTGACCAATTTCCACTTTCATCTCTGCTTTCAATAATCTCAACCTAAAATGGAAAATCGCATCCCCTCATCGGAAATCACATGAGCCATTTGTATTTTCAAATTCTTCCAAAAGGGAGTTGAAATTGAGAGAAGCAATTTTTTTCGGGGTCTTTTTCCCCATTTTTCCTATATTTTTTTTGGTATTAGGGTTTGAATTCGAGAGGTAGCATGATGTTCAGAACCTACGGTCGCCGGGGTCGTGTCTTGGGCCGGAGTTGCTCGTCCAGTGGCTTTTCCGATGGAGTTTCGGGATCTTCTTCCCAAGAATTCTCGCAGGATGTTTACGATTTCTCGTTTCCGTCCGATCCGTACGATTTCGACCCGTCTCATGATTCGGGGCGATCGGCGGCGTTTCTGCGGCCAAGGAAGGAAGGGGATGAGTTTCGGAACTCGAAGAAATTGAAGGTAATTGGAGCCGGTTCAAGGGCCTCCGATGAAAATTCTTTGCAAGAATCAAAGAAATTCGGGATTTTGAGGATTTCTGGTGAAGGGGGTTCGCAGAGATCGAGGGTGATGAAGAAGGTCAATACCGATCCTTTTGATTATGATTCATCCCAAGAGGTGGAC